TTGCTCAGAGCTCCATCAAGCCTGGTCTTGAATGTCTGCAGGAATGTAGCCTCCACCACTTCTCTAGGCAACCCATTCCAGTGATCCAGAACAGTTAATAGTTTGAAAATAATAGTTTGAAATTTATTTTAGTAATTTTCATCTTTTAATAGTAGTTGTTGTTGGTTGCTTTATTAGCATAAAATTTAGAATAATTTACACTGGAAAAGACCTTTAAGATCATTGAGTCTAACTGTAAACCATGACCCTAAGTGCCATATCTACTCATCTCTGAAACTTAAATGGTTTAAAATTTAGGAAACAACTTTATTTGGAAAAGTTTCTACCATCTTAGAAAACATCAGAAAACTTAAAATCAGCACCTAGACAAACTGGTTTGAGCTGCCTCCCTTCCCTCTCTCCCTCCCCTTCCCTTTCTCCCTCCTCTTCCCTCTCTCCCTTCCCTCCCCTCTCTCCTCCGCTATCTGTACTTCTCTCTACTACAGGTCTCTCTGATCACTTTTATTTACTGGCTTTCATTAGTCCTTTGTTCACCCACGTCATTCCAATGGCATCTTTAGGGCTTTTGTGACCTCCTTCTGGCCAGAAGTAGTGTTAAATACAGCTATATGCATACACACATATATAGCATATATGTATATGTGCATATATAGCTATATATGGAAAAAAAGCTATATTTTTGTTTCAGTTGAGGAGTCAGGAGTATGTTTTTCAAGTGAGTATTTCCTTAAACCATGTTCATAGCATTTTGTTTCACTTAATGGAGCAATCTAGAGTCAATCCTTCAAATGGTTTTTTTTTTTAAGCTTTTTTTTTTTTTTTTTTTTTTTCTTTAGTATTTACCTGACCTTCAGGGAAGGAGCCCCTTGGGCAATCAATGTAAAATTCTAATAGATTTCTTTAAATTTGTATATGCAAGAATGAACAAAAGGCATCCTAGACAATGTCTGCTTCTGCTACATCAAAGAATCATAGAATGTCTTGGGTTGGAACAGACATACAGAGGTCATCTATTCCAACTGCCTTACAATATGCAGGAACATTTCATATTAGAACGGATTGCTCAGAGCTCCATCAAGCCTGGTCTTGAATGTCTGCAGGAATGTAGCCTCCACCACTTCTCTAGGCAACCCATTCCAGTGATCCAGAACAGTTAATAGTTTGAAAATAATAGTTTGAAATTTATTTTAGTAATTTTCATCTTTTAATAGTAGTTGTTGTTGGTTGCTTTATTAGCATAAAATTTAGAATAATTTACACTGGAAAAGACCTTTAAGATCATTGAGTCTAACTGTAAACCATGACCCTAAGTGCCATATCTACTCATCTCTGAAACTTAAATGGTTTAAAATTTAGGAAACAACTTTATTTGGAAAAGTTTCTACCATCTTAGAAAACATCAGAAAACTTAAAATCAGCACCTAGACAAACTGGTTTGAGCTGCCTCCCTTCCCTCTCTCCCTCCCCTTCCCTTTCTCCCTCCTCTTCCCTCTCTCCCTTCCCTCCCCTCTCTCCTCCGCTATCTGTACTTCTCTCTACTACAGGTCTCTCTGATCACTTTTATTTACTGGCTTTCATTAGTCCTTTGTTCACCCACGTCATTCCAATGGCATCTTTAGGGCTTTTGTGACCTCCTTCTGGCCAGAAGTAGTGTTAAATACAGCTATATGCATACACACATATATAGCATATATGTATATGTGCATATATAGCTATATATGGAAAAAAAGCTATATTTTTGTTTCAGTTGAGGAGTCAGGAGTATGTTTTTCAAGTGAGTATTTCCTTAAACCATGTTCATAGCATTTTGTTTCACTTAATGGAGCAATCTAGAGTCAATCCCAACAAGTAATGGGTGTTCAGACTAGGGCTAGCTAGTTAAAAGCTTTTGGAACTGTGTAGTGCAGATGTCAGTGCTTCGCTGCTGGCTTAGTCTACAGATGTATTTCTGCTGGTGCACAGTACTTCCTAATGCAGAAGTGGCCTCTGCTGCCTGACATCTGTTGCTTCCCTAGGCTTTGCTCCTTCTTCCCTTACTCTTGCAGTCTTACCTCTTTCCATAGCTGCTATTTGGTTCATCCGCAACCTGACCCTAGGCTTACCCATGTTCAGCCTCTGTCCAGCCTTGCTTTCATCCAGAATTTCCATCTGGGTACTCTTTTATGGTCTTAAGCTGTGACAGAAACTTATTCTGTCATTGACCGTCACAGCTTCTTGTGTTGTGTTACTGCCAGGATACTTTCCTTGTGAAGTAAATATCTGTTTATGTTTTTTTCCCATTCTGTGGTAGAGACCAAATGGCATTCTTCCCTTTTGAAGCACTCCACAACATTGCACCTGTCTAGATACCCTCATATAATCTAATATTTTTTAAGCTACTTTTCACTGAGAACACCATCTGACCATTTAATCAACTGCTGTCTTTGCAACTGTTCACATCCCATATGTTGCCTGTGTAATAGTGTTGCAGGTGAAGTATAGCAGGATCTCTATTTATTTCAGAAAAATCTGAGAAATACAACTCAAAAGAGCTTTATTCTTCAGTGAAATTACTCTACATTGCTTCAGTTGTACAGAAAGTACTGTGTATTTTTGATTAGTAGCTTGTCCACATTGAAAAATGCCATCTTCTTGCAGTGTGTTTATTGTATGTACTGAACAATGGTGATTTGGAGTTTTGTGTCAAAATCAGGTTGGCTTTTTAAAGTGTCCTTGCATATAGCAAGTGTTCAAGTAGTTACGTTAAAGAAGATCCATGCACACCTACAAGTATGTTAAAATAGTGTTTTTAGCAACTTACTAGTAAGTTAAGAACTTAAGAACTAACTGGTTTCATTATACTGTAACATTTAGCCTTATTTTAATAGAATACTTAATGTTATAGAAACAAAATTGCCTATTGCAGCTGTTACAGTTGCAAACGAATGCTTCTGCATTGAAGCTTGTTTTCTTTAAGAAGCTGGTAAAAGCTCACTAAGATACAGGAGAAATCCTTGGCCTTCCTAAGCTACATGCACCTACAGGGTTAGCTGCATTTCTGTTTGCTTGTTGTTACACAGTTTGTACTCTCTGCATATTACTAAGCCTCAGAGCACTGAATCGCAAGTTTTTTCCAGGTGACTCGCTTCTGGCTACAAACTCTGTTTCTGCTGTTAAATTACCTTTTCATGTCTCTTTTTTTAAGTTTTTCTGGGCCAGGGCTCTTCTGATAAGCAAGCAGTGCTAAATTCATAGCGTTGTTAGCAATATGTGCTGTGCAAAGTTCAACTGTATCAAAGCACACAACTTGAAATTTCTTGGAACATAAGCTTTATATCCAATTCAAGCAATCAATATGCCATAAGAATAGAAAGTAAATGCTGGCATCAGAGGAGCAGCTATTAATATTATATTTTGAGGGATTTTGAAGTCTCTTTTCTTTTTCAGATGTATGCTTGCAAATATAAACGCAAAAGCTGCTTACCCCACCGCAGTGAAAGCACATACACACAAAACATGCAGTTTTCATTACTTATCTAAACTACTTAGGTGAGACTTTTTTTTCCTTTGGCTTTGCTAATTGCACAAAAAAATGCTCAGAAAATATTTAGCATAGTAACAGAATCAGAGAAGAAATAAAAAAGGATCACCTGTTGCTGTGTATGTTTTAGCAGTCTGTTTAGGGTATGTTTAAAGCTGGGGTTTTTTGTTTTTATTTTTAGCACCATCTGTTCCACCTCCCATTCTCACCTAACAAGAATATATGTGTGTATGTTTGTGTGTGTATAGAGGATGTTGAAGGTATGTTAAGTCATTTGCTCAAACTGGCTTTGCAGCAGCATGAAAGAAATTTGAAAGGCAATGACAACTTTTAAAAGAAAAATAAATTAAAAGTAACAGGAAGCAAGAGTGTCACACTTAGATTTTTTCGGGGGGGAAGTTTAATTAATACTCATTAGGATTCTTACTTTCAAAAAAGCTCTTAAGGAAAAAGGTCATTAATATAAAAGATGTAAATAATTTTACTATTAATGAAAAAAACCTCTCTTTACTGTGTGAAGGGTTAGTTAATGCAGTTTTAAAGAAAAAGTATTAACTTGAAATTACTGAACATTGACCTGTTAATGGCAACTTGTTATTAACAGTTGTCTCCTGGCCAAGCTCCAGTGGTGTTGATGGTATTGCAAGACATGATTTGCATAAAAGAGGAGTTTTACAGTATTCTTTAAGGAGACCTTAAAGTTAGAGACTAACCAAAAGGGATCAGACATGTCTTGATGGAAGACAATATGGTGTTTGGTGTGAGTTGGTCCTTTGTGAATTCTTTTTTGAGTGTTTTTCACAGTAGAAAGTTTGATAGTAGTGCTTCAATTATGTTACTTCATTCAGTTCTTAGGATTTTGCTTCTGCAAGTACAGATTTCTTTAACTCATTTCCTTTGTGGCATCTGGGTTTAGTTACTTGGCGACTGCCTCACCGGTGCAAAGGAGGAAGTACAGGATTTGGAATAATGCAAGTGTATTGTTTTAGGAAAATCAAAACATATGCAAGTTACTGTTTTAATCTTGTCTGTCAATTGTTCACATTTTTTTGTAGACCAGAAGATTCACAGTTTTGTGGATATCTGTGTGGCTTTTGTGTTTTGATTTACAACTTAAAAGCTTAATTAAAAAAATAAATCTACAAACTGGCCCAGGAGAGTTGCAGTAGAAACGTGGAAGAATCCAGAGGGACAGAAGATTTTTCACAGTAGCCTATAGCTGTACAACTCTTGCACAAATCTATATATTTAAAAAAAAATAAAGTATATATTCTTCTAGTTGACCAGTATTTTTTATTGTTTATGTTAGTTTTATTTTTCTACACTTGCATACATGTGTTCTTCATGCCACTCTCTCCCAGAAGTTTCAAGCTCTGTGTTAATTAATTGTGACATGTATAGTAAACAGGTGACTTAAAGTTATTAATATCAATCTTAAAATAATATTTTTTTTCTTTTTTGTCTTTTTCCACAAAAATAGATAATATACCTGAGAGAATCCCCTGAAGATGTGTACAGGCTTATATTGGCTGGAAGTAATTCATATCTTCCTTTCAGGTAAAAAGTTTTCAGAACTTTCTGTACCTTGATATTTCAAAGAAGAATGCAGCATTTAGCAGGACTAATTTGGGTTTGGTTTGTTTTGGCTGAAGTTTTACACATGACACATTAGCTGCCTGAGCCTTAAGTGAAGCCTGCTGAGCAGTGGTGTTAGCTGCTGGTACTAAAATGTACTGACAGAAGATGAAGGAGCCATGCTGCTTTCTATGTGCTCTTGTTGAGCTTTTTGATATACATTGCTTCTCAGTTGGCTGTCTGGTTTTATGCCAGTGGTAAATAGTTAATCATATCAAAGTATCTGTCATTCATCACGAATGGGTTATAATGCTAGTTCTATCCCTCCATTTTTCCCACTTGTTGAACATATGGAGCAACCCACAATTAAGAGTTTTGTGCATGCAGAATAACCGCTAACCTCACATGATTGAATGTAACTTTAAAGTATTTCTTTTTACCATAGAGGAAATGTGTAAAACCATTGGTTCATGGTTGCTTTACCCTGAGGGAATGTGAGCCTAGCTGTTTCAGTTCTCTGTGGTATATCACAGACTCATCATGGTTGGAAAGGATGTCTGAGATCACCAGCTCCAACCATCAACACAAAAAAACCTGCTAACAAACACAGCCAAAACAAACTCCACCAAAAAACACCCACAAAAGACCAATCAAAAAAACCCCAAAACCTACAGCCTCGGCCACTACAGCAGGTTGTGAAATTCCACATCTGCATGTTTCTTGAATGCTTCCAAGGATGATGGCTCAACCACGTCCCTGGGCAGGCTGTTCCAGTGCCTGACCACTCCTTCAGTATAGCAATTCTTCCTAATATCCAATCTGAACCTCTCCCATCCCAACTGCAGGCCAGTTCCTCTAGTCCGGTTGTTATTTACTTGGAAGAAGAGGCCAACACCCACCTCCCTACAAACTCTTTCCAGGTAGTTGTAGAGGGCAGTGGTGTCTCCCCTCAGCTTTCTCTTCTCCAATCTAAACATCCCTAGTTCTCTCAGCTGTTCCTTGTATGACTTGTTCTCTAAACCCTTCAGCAGCTCGGTAGCTCTCCTCTGGACATACTCCAGCACCTCAATGTCCTTCTTACAGTGAGGGGCCCAGAACTGAACACAGTATTTGAGGTGCAGCCTCACCAGTGCTTAGTACAGGAGCACGATCACTTCCCTACTGTTGCTGGCTGCACTAGGACAGGATGGGCATACCAATGGCTCATGTTCATCTGGCTGTCAACCAGCATCCCCAGGTCCTTTCTTGCTGGGCAGCTTTCCAGCCACTCATCCCCAAGCCTGTAGCATTGCCTGGGGTTGTTGTGACCAAAATGCAAGACCCGGCACTTGGCCTTATTGGACCTCATACGATTGGCCAGGGTCCATTGATTCAACCTGTCCAGGTCCCTCTGTAGAGCCTCCATACCCTCTTGCAGTTCAACACTCCCACCCACTAAACTCCCAGTTTAGTGTCATCTGCAAATTTACTGAGGGTCCACTCAGTCCCTTCTTTCAGATCATTGATAAAAGATACTGATAGGCTATGCAAATAAAGTTGATCTGTCCTGCAGAGGAACAACTTCTTAATTTCTTCCAAACAAGTGTTTCTAAAATTTGTGCTAGACTAGCATTCCATTGGCTGCCGCAATATGCAAAAAATATGGCCAAAGAACTTTTCAAAGAACTTTCCAAATATACTGTTATGGGGTGATTAATTCAGTCTTTGTTTTTTCTAGATCTCTTGCTAAGGGATGGACTTTTGATTATTTAAATTTCTATTACATCTCCCCCCTGCCACCATCACTGAATAATCGTTGAGAAGCGCTTCTCTATATTTGCATACCTCTTGTCATCCTGTTTCTCACTTTAAAATTCCATTTTTATATTCCCACAAGAACAAAAGTTCTTCTTATGAAGACTGTAAGATTTGTTTCTAAGTATCATAAAGTTGTATGTGGTTGATGGATGTAGTGGCTTTTCATTCAGGTCACATAACCTGCCCAAGTTCCCAGGCAATCATTTGAACAGCACTACTGAAAGAAGTGCAAAGATGAGAGCTAACTTTGGAAGACATGTCCGGCCTCTGGGATAAAATATTTAGTCTGCTAAAGTGTCTGCAAACCATTTTCTTGAGTTTACTAGTGCACTAAACCTGATGCAAACAGAGAAGTTCAGATTAAGTTAATGATCAACTGAGATGTTGGTGATTTGATTGTTGGGCTCCCTTGCTTTAAGAGCTTCAGGTAGTTGCTAGGATGCAAAGAATTTCACACTCAGAGTGAAAAAAATAGTTTCTGATGTTCAGAGGGAACATCCTGTGTTTCAGTTTGTGTGCATTGTCTTGTGTTATGTCACTGGACAGCACTGGAAATAGCCTAGCTATTATGTCTTCTTTGCAGTCTCCCTTTAGGTATTTATATACATTGGTAAGGTCCCTCCTGAGCCTTCTGTTCTCCAGGCTGAACAGTCCCAACTCTCTGCCTTTCCTTATATATGAGATGCTCCAATCCCTTAATCATATTTGCAGGCCTTTGCTGGACTCTCTCCAATATGTCTGTACCACTGAGGAGCCCAGAACTGAACACATTACTCCAGGTGTGGCTTCACCGGTGCTGAGGTGAGGGGGAGGATCGCTGCCCTCAGCCTGCTGGCAATACTTTGTCTAATGACACCCAGGATACCGTTAACCTTAGTTGCAAGGCACATTGCTGCCACTGACCACCACCCTTTGGACCTGGCCATTCAGCCAGATTGCAATCCACCTGTCTGCTCGACCAGCTCACACATCGCTAGCTTGTCTATGATGATTTTGTGGAAATAACATCAGAGGCCTTACTGAAGAACTACCCACTGCCCTCCCCTCATCTATCAGGCCAGTAATTTAGTTGTAGAAATGTATCAAGTTGATCAAGTGTGACTTTGCCTTTGTGAATCCATGGTGACTACGCCATATGATTTTCTTGTCCTTAATTTATCTGGAAATGGTTTCTAGGACCAGCTGCTCCATGATGTCTCTGAGGATTGAAATGTTGCTGGTTGTCCTGTAGTTCCCTGGGGATTCCTTTTTGTTCTTCCTTCTTGTTCACCCTTGAAGCTCAGGGTGACATTTGGTTTCTGCTTTTCTCAGGGATTTCTCCCAGTTGCCATGATCGATCATAGATTATGGAGTGGCCCTGCGATAACATCAGCTGGCTTCCTTGGCACTTGGGGGTGCACCCTATCAGTGCCCATAGATCTAGGAATGTCCGGTTTGCAGACGTATTCCCCAACATGCTCCTTGTGCACCAAGAGTATATCTTCCTTACTTCAGCCTTTCACCTTGCTTTCTTGGACCTGGGATTCCTGAAAGCTGGTCTTGCTAGTAAAGACTGAGGCAAAGAAGGCACTCAGTACTGCAGCCTTTTCCACGACCTCTGTAACCAGATGCTTTGTCTCATTGAACAACGGGCTCACATCTTTCCTAATCTTCCTTTTGTTGTCCATGTGCTTACAGAAACACTCCATGTTTTCTTAGATATCTTTGTCAGACTCAATTCCATTTGGGCTTTTACTTTCCTAACTTTATCCCTGGATGCTCAGACAGTGTCTGTCTATTTCTCCCAGGCTACCTGTCCATGTTTCCACCCTCTGTAAGCTTCATTTTTGTGTCTGAGTTTGTACAGGAGTTCTTTGATTCACCCAGACCTCCGGGCATTTTTGCCTGCATCTTATTTATAGGGATGAACTGCACTTAAGCTTAAAGGGAGTGATCTTTGATTATTAACCAGATTTCTTTGACACCTCTTCCTTCCAGCGCCTTATGCCTTGAGCAGATATTTGGAGAGGCCAGAATCTGTTGTCCTAAAGTCCAGGGTGGTTAGGTTGCTTTTCACCCTCCTTGCTGCCCTCAGAATCCTGAACTCCAGTATCTGATAGTCACTGCAGCTAAGGCTGCCTTTGACTTTCACAACCCCAGTGAGCACCTCTTTGGTGGTGAGTATGAGGTCCAGTGGAGCACTGTTCTTCATTGGCTTCTGTATCACATGGAGGAGGAATTTGCCACCTGCAAACTGCAGGAACCTCCTGGATTGCCAACATCCTGCTGTGTTGTCCCTCCAACAGATATTGGAGTGGTTGAAGTTTCTCAGGAGGACCACAGCCTCTGAATATGAGGCTGCACCTGTCTGTCTGTGGAGGACCTGATTCACTTGTTTTTCCTGATCAGGTGGCCAAAAAGACACCCACTACAGTGTCACCATTACCTGTCCTCTCTTTTAGCCAAATGGAGTTCTGTTATTTCCCTCTTCTGCTGATTTTTCACCTTGCCTTTCACACCCATTAGTTAGGGAGTAAAAGTATACAAATTATAGCTGCAGCCATCCAGGTTCCTCAGAAGTTTTTCTTCCTCACAATTGAAATTTGAACATGATATATTGAAACAAGTTTTTGAAACATACATTCATGAAGCATCAATGATGCTCCACTGATGGAGGGCTGAGTGTTCTCAAAAGAAGGTGCTCTGCCAAGACATAATATTCTTTCATGTAGATTTAGTTTATTTTTTTACTTGACTTATAGTATTCCTGTAGAATGCTTACTCTACAGTGTTTATGTAATCTAGTAACAGTCACATATGAAGAACATGCCACTCTTGGATCAAGAGGATTTTAAAAATTGTAGTTAAAAGACGGGGTTTTAATGATAAACAGTTTATCCTCGTGTTTAAGCATAAACCATTTTATGTGTCTTAAGGAAAGTTTCAATACATCTACACAAATGTATGTCTTGACAGATAGATTAAGAAGATGCTGATAATTGCACATAGGATGCATGTGCACAGCATGGTTTTTTTGTTTAAATGGAGTTTGAGGAATAGATTTTACTTTTTCAGAAGTGTACTTCAGAAGAAAATGTTCTAAATGTATGTTGGAATATGATGCTAACTTAGGCATTAGCTTTTGCCGCAAGAAATTAGTGTTATTTGTTGACATGAGCACTGAAACATGCCAGTTTCAATGTTTGTATCAGAAATTGAACATACCAGCTTTATCAAAACTAAGAAAAATCTTACTCTTGGATCATCTGTTAATTTATTTTATGTTTTGTTATTGTTAGATGCAAGCAGGGGGAAATAAAGTAATTGTTTGGCATAATTACTTCACTCTAATAGTAATTATCTTGAAGCAATTCTTAAAAGGTGTTTTAGAGAAAAATCTTCAATTGCTTTTGCTTGGATTAAATAATAAAATTATCCCATTTTTGGTCATCCTATGTTATAGGGATGCTTCCTTTGGCACTTGCAGTTTTCATCTGACATTGCTGGACTGTTTTCATGCAATCAACAAGGTCAGTAGAATAGTATTTTTTTGTATTGCAAAAGGTCTGTTAAATACTGTCTAGCAGAAAGAGAAGACTTAGCAAGCTAGGATCTAATTCGAGCTGTGCAGTATCAGGTTTTTTGATTGTTGCCTATCTTACTATGTATTATGCATTGTAAAAAAACTTCTAGATACAGCATCCATATAAGTCAACTGATAGCTTTTATTATCAGCTAGTGAAGATTTTAAAGAAGGAATTTTGAGTTCTGTGTAATTGTTCAGGACATTAATTCACAGCTCTAATCCCTAAGAGCTGTGTCATAGGTTTATTATATGCCTCCCCTGGTGTTAATGTACTAGGCTGAATACAGCCCTTGAAAGTGGTTTTGAGTTGATTAGTGATAGTTTTTAGGCATTTATGGCATCTACTAGTGACTTCAAGTTTTGCTTTAGTAATACAAATAGAACAAATATCAGGAGGTAAACATGGAGATTTTCTTTATATTGCCAGTTATCATAATCTAGTGTTTTATAGCAATACAGTGGTGAAGTGGCAAGGCAGTGACGGGAAGTGACAAGTGACAGAGAAATTTGTTTGCATTCTTTTTAGTCTGTATGAGTAATGATATGAGGCATTATGCAGCTCCCCACTGTCTTTTGTATTGTGGGTATCTCTGCAAAATACTGGGTTTTTTTACTAATTAAACCAGTTCTGTCAGATTTGTGATTTTCAGCTTTTTCAGATGTTTTGGCATTGGCTGCTTGTGTGCCAAGAGTGGTAAATTGCTGTTTTTCTTAGTACTAGTGAATGGCAAGGAAAGCTACAGAATGCATTGAAATATATCAGAATGTAGTATTTTAAATATCTGGAGATACAGGATTATCTTTGCTTGCACTTCCTGATTTAAGAAGTGAGTCAACTGCCAAGTTACCCAAATGTTTACATTTTTTATACAGTATTAGTATAATAGTTGTGAATAATTACAGAACATCAGGGACCACACTAGGGTCTGCCTAGAATTGTGTGTCTGCAAACGATTTAAAATTAGTGAATGTAAAGGCATCACCATGAGAGCAAGTAGCATTCATACACAAAAATATTTGTAATACTTGAATGCAGGCTTTAGAATGTGCTCATAATTTCAAGAGATAATTTTTGCCAGTTATTTTTCTCTATTCTGTAGTGGCAGCAGTAAAAAGACTGAATGCTTCTGTAGTCTGGAATTTTGTAGCAATTCAATGAAAACAGAAAATTTGCTTGTCTAACTTCACTTACATTAAAATTTACAAAGCTGTTTTGACCCAAGACTAAGTTGATCTGTATTTTTTCAAACATATGAAGAAATCTTTCTGGAACAGTAGAACGGGTATTAAGGGGCTTCTAGTAACCTACAAGAGTGATAAACAGTCCTCAGTGAAAGGATGTTTTCTTTGTTAACAGCTGTATTCTGAATTTTAGGCTTTGCAATATGGTTTCCTGGATTTCAATTCTTTTGATGTAAATGAATATGAGCATTATGAAGTAAGTGTTCAGTAGCAATCTTCTGATTTGTTTGCTGTTACTATGGCTAAGATGATTGTTCATAATATTTGCTGTTTTTTTGGTACTATTGGGTTCTGTTTCTGTTTTGTCTCTTTAAATTTTCATAGTCCTGGAAGGGGAAGCAGAAACCAAAATGGAAATAAATACTTTTTTCTGTTGTTATTATTAAAACCCTGGAAGCTTATTGAAGAGTGGGTAATTGGCCCACTTTTAGAGGTCATGCATATTATTGAGCAGTCTTGATGAGAAACCCCAGGGCATACATGCCCAGGTCTGACTGAATTCTGGAGAGCAGTGTAAGTTTGTATGTGTGAACAAGTGGCAAAGGTATAATAACACTCTTTGAGGTAAAGAAGGAAACAGGGCTGCAAAACTCCAAGCCTATAAACAACTATAGGGCATGGGAAATGAATGTGACAATGAAGTACAGCAACTTTTGACTGTATGCAGTCTCAGAAATGCAAAGCTGCCAGTTATCTGTAAAGATAAAATTAATGTTTCTTAGAATCTAAAAAAATAATTATTTAAATTTTGAACAGAGGTAAGACTAAGGTCATAATTTAGATATCTATAAAAAAATTACAAATTTACAGTTTCCCTTGAGATGAAAAGCATCAGTTGTACTTGTTCTAAAACTCTGGTTTAGAAAAGGGAGAACTCAGGCAAGAAACGTGAGGTTGAGAGCATCTGGCATCCTCCCAATGGAACAAAAAGCAGGCGACTAACATAACTTCCTTTGGCAAAAACTGTACATCACTTCTGTCTAGCATGTATTTTGAAACAATAAGGAAAGCTTGAAAATACAGGGATAATGGTAAACCAAGCATTTTCTCTTGACAGAGAGCAGAAAATGGAGATTTTAACTGGATAATACCAAACAAATTCATTGCCTTCAGTGGACCTCACTCAAGAAGTAAAATTGAAAATGGTATGCTTAAAAAAAGAGGTGGGGGACACAAGCCCACTGCTTTCTTAGTTGATTGTTGATTGTAAGAACAAGCTTTAAAAATTTTTCCTCAAACAGTGTGTTTTTTCCTTGGCTCTTTTTCTTTCATAAGAACCCTGGCAGTAAAATTTTAATGGCTTGGTTTAATTGTATCTGACATAGGTGATTATGTTAAAATTCCATTTTCGGTTAGTCTGTTTCTTTATGTTGAACATCAGTTCTGTGTTGAAGGTATTTTCATCACTTGCTTTCGAGTCTTTGTTTATTTCTGCAGATTGAGCCTTACTATATATATTTTTTTATCCTTCTTTTTCTCAAATAGGCTATCCCCTCCATGCTCCAGAGGCTTATTTCCCATACTTCAGGAAGCATAAGGTCACCACTATCATACGCCTCAACAAAAAACTGTATGATGCCAAACGATTCACAGATGCTGGATTTGAGCACTTTGACCTCTTCTTTGCTGATGGAAGCACGCCTAGTGATACTATAGTTAAAACATTTCTGAATATTTGTGAAAACGCTGAAGGTGTTCTAGCTGTTCATTGCAAAGGTATTGTGTAAAACCAATTTATATTACAAGTCATGCTTATAGTTAATGTTCCTCAGATACTTTGCACTATAATTCTCTTATATCTAGTTATTAACATCTCTGCCAAACTGCAGCTTTTCCCTGCAATTTTTTTATATGCTTCTGTTCTGCACTTCATCTTCTAATTTTTGCAATTTCCAGAAAAATCTTACCAGCTGTTTCCAAGAAGGAAGTTGGGAAAAGTGAGCTTGCCAGTACTAAGAGAGCTTTCCGCTAGAAAGCGTTAGCACTTTCAAAGGAAGCTTTTGAACAGGAATTTGAAGTACTGGCAAGGTGTATAGGTCTTTTTGAAAATACACAGTTAAATATAGTGAGTCATAAAATTTTGAAAATATCGATACAGTTTTTTGTGAAGATTCTTCATAACATATGCATATTATTCCAGAATCACAGAAAAATTTGTCCCTCAGAAATTCTTTATGCTAGCTATCTTGAGCATGCTCTGAATTTCAGTTCCTCCAGTTATACTGCCAAAGCCCAGTGCAGCTAGTATGAAGACAGCTTTCTGGAGAAACCATGTTTCCCTTCCCACACCATGTTTAATAGTCTATTATGCTATGACTGTTAATCCAAGTAACAATGTCTGTAGCTGCAGCAGATTCCAGATGAAGATGGGTATCTAAAAGAAGCCATTCTTTTATCTTACACAGCTGGTCTTGGACGAACTGGCACACTTATTGCCTGTTATATTATGAAGCATTATCGGATGACAGCTGCTGAAACTATTGCCTGGATTAGAATAAACAGACCTGGTTCAGTCATTGGACCACAACAGCACTTCCTGATGGAGTAAGTAGACTGACTGTAAATTACTTAAAAAACAGATTGAAATGTCTATTTCTTCTTCTCCTATTGTAGATTTAATAATCTTTGCTGTTACTTTGTTGTGTTTTGAGCGCTTTTTTTCCATGTTATGATAGCAAACAGGCAGAACTTTGGACAGAAGGAGATATTTTCCGTGCAAAGTTGAAAGGAAACAGTAAAATTGCTGTGAGAAGAATTCTGTCAGGAGTAGATGAAATTTCGATTAATGACATGAGAAACAGGAGAACCATCCGAAGGGACAATGAACTGGTAACTATCTGTATAGAAGTTGTAAAAGTTGTCTTGTAAAAGTTGTAACTGCTTTTGAGAATCTCTCAGGTTCTGAACAAACTTGTGAGTGCAGTAAAACTATGTAAAATCAGATTATTCTTCAGTTTGCCCTTTTTCTATCAAGGGATACAGGAAGCAGGAAAGTTACAGACAGCAAGTACACAAAATAAAGTGCAGTACAGAGGTGAAGTAGAAGCATCTTTATAATATTTTAGAAATTAGGTAAATATTAGAACAAAAAAGTACTCATGATTTGCCGTCAAAAACACTGATTTTGTTTTAGATGATCTATTACTTCATTGTGTGACTTTAAAGGGAATGGATTAGAGGATTTTTGCTCTTTTATTTTCTAAGTAATTGCAACTTCTATAATGCCTTTTGATTCTGCCTTTTTTAAAAAAGGCACTGCTGCTTTAAAAAGGCAAGTGAAGGAGGGAAATGCTGTACTTGAGTGAAGATTGTACTGTACCTAAGCAAAGATTTATAATACGTTTCGATTGTTTTAAAGGCAGAGAACCTTCTAATGCATGTAATTCCACTTAATAGTTAATAGTGGAACCACTTAAGAGTTTACAAGTTTAATAGGAGCTAACAGAAACAGGAAATAAAATAATTATATTTATGCAAATTAATTTCATTTTGATTTTATGCTGACATACTTTCCTGATGGGATAATTCTAATGTAAAGATTTAAAATAAGGTTAATTCTTAAATGTCTAACTGTCTGTATTTTAATCTTGGTTTGTCTCTTCCCTGCCTCCACTTACCTAGTACAGTGATGAAGATGAAACAAACATTGTAACACAAGGTGATAAGCTTCGTGCTTTGAAAAGTAGAAGGCAGGCAAAAGCTCCAACTGCATCTTCACTAACGTAAGTCAGTTTCTGAATGCATAAATGCCAGAGGTACTTTTATCTTCTTTATTTACACTTCCCTTTGTGTAAAAGGGAAAAGTTTGTTTCCAAGGCTACTTTTACTTAATTTGAAACAAACATGAGATTCACTGCTTCTCTGAAAGCTTGGTTGACCACTAAGGAGGCAGAAGAACTTGATTAAACAACTGCATGACTCAGTTTCTAGTTTTCTGTGTAGTTTTTGATTCCAATTGTCTGTGCTTTACAACCTCCCATAGTATTTCTGAGTGCTTTACTTTTAGTTTAATCACTAACAGTCCCTTGTCTTTCCTGTGGCAATATAAAATTGGAAGAATATGGCTCCATGTGGTGGTGTTTGATTTGCTGAAATAAGATATGTGCTCTTTTCTGAGGGGAAATCAGCTACCTAAGGAGAAGAGTTGAAAGAAGAACCTTTAGCTTCCTTTAATTTCCTTTTCCTTGGAGAGGAGCTTCCCCTAAATTCTGTGGGCTTTGGAATTATGAGTAGTGGTTCTGGAAGGCAAGATATAGCACTATTTTGGTAAATAAATTCAAAAGGAGTGCATTTCTGTCAGAGAACCTGGTATGTAAGTCTCTATTTTAGGCAAGGTCTGAAACTCCATCTGTAAAAGTTCATCATTGTCTTGGCATCTGTAGTTTGTAGCAAGTGTAGGTATAAAACCTTCCTGTCTACCCTTACACAAGAGAATATAAGACTTACAAGACATATATGGATGTAATTTGATTGCTAGGAAAGGACTGGTGACTCCTGATTGTCAGATTCTTGCAAATAACCCAGCATCAGTCAGACCAAAGGCAATTTGGCTTTTGTTGTGCTGTCTTTCTGTAGGGGATGATGCTGTTGGTCTTATTTTTCATTTTTTTAAAAGGCCAGTGTCATCAGACCTTTAGAAAAAGTGAGGGGTATACAGTGTGAATGTTCTGAAGGTGAAGGACTGTATCTTTGGAAAACCTCACACATTGATATATATGAATTCTGCTTTTGTTTTAAAAGATTATCTTTTGTCTGTGCTCATAATTATATAAACAGTCATATATAAACATCAGATTTAGAACAAAGCCTGTACCAAACTGACTTAAAGGAAACCCAAAACAACATCACTTCAGATACCTCAAATAGCACAGTAAAAAACTGGCTGCTTTCCACATTAGTTTCTACAGCACTTAGTGCCTTAGTTTCATAATAAAAGGTGCTTTAAGTCATGTAAATAAAGTTGTGAAAGATTTTGCTTATATATCTTCCACAGAATGAATGTAAACTGTATAATACTCAGAGAAATTTTCTTAATATGCAGAAAGCCTATCAACTATCAAAATACTGTTCCGTTCATGAAGCATTCTGCAACATGATTGCTCTAATCAAAATTAGCTAGCTTGTACTTCCATTGGAGGAAAAATAATTGATCTAGAGCTCATAGTTGTTTAGGTTTTTTTATAATCTGCACTGTGACCCAGGGAGTTAAAATTTCCCTCCTCCCATTCCCCTGAGATATTTGTATTTCAGCTTTTACTGAAATAATTTGGCAAAAAATAAACTCTTACATTTTTAATGTTACTTGCATTAAACCAAAAGATGACTAGGAATATTTAGCTGCTGTACCTGAGTCAGAAGTCTTTGCTACTAGAAGAGGTGTCAGTCTTTTTCCCTTTTAGTTCAGACTCTTAAAAATAAGTAATCTTGAAATGATATTAATTCTATCTAAGCAAACAAGAATATGTTTCTAAATCTTTTATGTAGTTTTATTTCACAGAAAAATGGCTAGAGACAGTGCTTGCAACTTAAATGTAAGGGATTTGTGTGTAACGATTGTTGATGTTCATTGGATTTGGTTGTATAAACTGTGTGCTTTGATGAATGGATACTTTGTGTATGTTCTAATTAGCAATATTCTGCAGCTTTGGCAAAGGATTCTGAATTAGCTTTTGCCACTTTGAACACAGGAAGGTAATTACCTAGTCATCTAGGTGTTTATGTAAATTGTACCTACAAACTGATCTGGGTCTGATCTAATGTTTCATATGATTGTGAAGTAGGATGTATGTATATAGGCTGATCAAACTCCATTTGGCAGCAAGTGATCAGAGATGTACTGCTCCGGCATGTACTTACTTTCAAAAGAGTGATACAGACTTTCTTTCAAATGAATTACAGTGAGGATTTGAGAAAATGTGCGTTCATTCCAGTAAACATGTGGATACTATATTTGGCAATTTATGGTTGCGTGGATTGTTCAGTCTTAGAAAGTAAGAAAATGCTTGGCAAAAGTTACAGAGCAATATGCTTTTGAAGAACTTAAAACAAGCTTAAATGCACCGATAGCTTTTGCTTTTGAAATTTTGTTCATCTTTTCCTCCCCCTCCAACCCCTTTTTAGATGGCTCGTAGCTATGCTGGTGTCTACACTGTGTAGCATTGTCATCTGGTGGATTGTATGTGGCTCCCTTCTGCCCAGCCTGCTATTCTGTCTAGATGGTTTAAGAACATAGTAACCATCAGGACCCCCTGAGAGAGAGCCACTGTGTAAGTGTCCCATTCCATTTCTCTACAATAGCTCATGCTTTCTGTCTAGCGTGTCTCATAAATGCATGTTTTCCTATCATGTTTCTCACTGGCTTTGTTGCAAGAATAAATTTCACTGCTGTGGTGTTATATTTTTGTAAATATTATTTGGAATAACTGGGTCATTTTTATGGCTGGCTTGCAACACAAAAAGCTGCAGAGCTTTTATAATTATGATAATACATAATTTTGAAGCCTTTCTTCTATGCATGCTCCTGCAAATAAGCAAAACTGTATAAGGAAAACTATTATTTGTAAAAAGGAAAATATGATCCTATCTTTTGCATTTTGCAAATGAAGATGTTTGCTCCAGTCTTACTTTGAAATCCATGAACTTGGAAAGGAGCTTAGTTTCCCAAAGGATGGGTTTACTCACATGAAGTGCCAGGAATTAGAATTTGTTAGAACTATCAGCAGGTCTTTGGTATTTTCTAAGAGATTATAATATTATTTGCCGTAAGAGGAATTAAAGTGAGACTTCTTTTTTCCTCTTTAACACAAGAGGTGATTGAGGTATGTTGCAGGATTAGGTCAAGGCTCACTTGTCTCTCAGCCAATCTGGTTTGATCTCCTTTGTTCTCATTGATTTTTTAAATAAAGCTCTGTGAGAACAATTAAATCCCTTAGTTCTGTAACAAGGATTCAGCAGCTGAGTAAAGCATTCAAAATATATTACTTCCTTGAGTACTGTTTTCACACTTTGTCACTCTGCTTTTGTCAGAGTGGCTGCAGGGATTCCTGTGCCTCTCTTTCACTTAAAAGGTGCCATGTTTTCATCAAATGACAACTTCCATCTTTTGTCCAAAAAAACCCACATGAGCAGCACAAAGAACTCCCAGGAAGCCCAGACAAGAACTTTTTGCTTGTATCTCTGAAGCTGCTCCACCACCCCTGCCCTCAAAGCAAAATGGTTGCTTTGGGTGAATGCTTGAAACTTTGGTGCTCTCAGAGAAAAAATAGGTCAGAAAGAGGGGTTTACACCAGACTATTAAGTAAGAAAAGGCATTCTTTCCTGGCAGAACATTAAGGTTAAGAGTTTCTTGCCCCACCTTTCCTACCTTTGGCTTTGCAACTTTTGGCCATAATTTTTAAAAAGCATGCGACTCTGTGCTAAAGTAAGGGACATAATAACTAAAGAATGAAAACTGGGGGACTTGTGGACAACTTTGTTATCATAAGAGTCTCAGCAGAGGTCATCTTAATCTTTTATTTCGGAGAAAAAAAACCAACAAAACAACACAACTGTTCAATCTTCAACAATCTCTTCAACTGTTTTGCTTTGGTTTTTGTTTTGGTTTTTTTTTTCATTGGCATATAACTTTTTCAAAGAACATACTTAAATGAGAGACTTGTTTTCAAATTTTCACACCAAATGTAGTAGTACTTCTTGTTTCAGTGTTTTCCTGAAGTCAGACCTTACATTTCTAAACAGACTAAAAAAGCTAAACTTAAAACACTGCTCAAAAAAAAAAAAAAAAAAAGAAACGATCTGTCCTTTGTTTTCCTGTACTGTAAGATCAGTTTCACTCAACTATCATCCTTTCTTTAGCTTACTGTTTCTGTGTTCTGTCTAAAAACTCCCTTTCTAGAGGGAAGGAAAAAAGATGGTTTGATATTGGTGTATGTGTCACAATGCAAGCAATGGGGTTATTGATGCTGCTGCCTCATATTCAGGATTGACAATCACACAGTGTTTATGTCCAGGAAGAGAAATTGCTTAAGCTTTTCTTAAAAGCTAGACTAACATTCTCTCAGCTACTGTCCCTTATGTTTTAAGAGAACAAATTACCTATCAGGATCATGAATCATTCTGGGCTAGCCTGTCACTCCTGTTGGCTGGAGCCTTTTAAATTGAAGATTATCAGTCACTTGTTGCCTATCAACTACTTGGAACAGTGCTAGAGGTGTCAGGCTGCTTTCATGAGGTGATGATGGAGAAAGCAATATTGCAATTGACAGACCTCATAAAATAGGTAACATTGGCAAGAACAAAAAGCCCATCACAGGTCGGAGAAGACAATCTTCTGCGCAACCTCTGTTCCCCCCATCCATCCCTAGGGATACTGTAATAATTTTTCATTTAAAAAAGCTTGTTGTGTGGATTGATTTCTCTCCAAGATCTATGGCCTTTCTGGCATTTCAAGTTTTATGGCTTTTAGTCTTGGGTTGGGAGTTTGGGCTTTTCTGTCCTGATGGTGTACCTGTCTTCCCACTGCACTCGAGTTAAATGGAGAAAAAAAGTTGTGAGCTATTTAAAAGATTATAATTTTTCCATTTAAGCATGTTTTTATTTGTTTAAAAGTGAATATATTAGCTTGAATAAGAAAGTAGTGTATAAACCAGTGTGGTGTTTGGAGATTGCAGGAGGTTCAGAACTACTAAGTGATACTGCCATTACAGATTAATTGAAGATAAAT